GAGAATGAACACATAGTTTCTCTGCTCTGCCTTTTCCCTCTCCATGTTTTCTGGAGGGCCACCCAGGTGCTCTGGCAACATTAAAGCTGGCCTTTTTCTAATTTGTTTTGATTTGGTCTGATTGGCAGAGAGTTTGTCAGGCCGGAAAAAACAATAACTGCAAAATTCCACCTTCAATCACTTGCTTGATTGCTTTAAGGTTCCTTTACTTGGTTGATTTCTGTTGCATTCTACTAGAAGAGACTGAAAATATGGCCTAGTCATACACAAATTTTTCGATGCAAATCTGTTTTAGCTCCTAGTTTTTGGCAGCACAACATGTGTACAAGCATATACACCACACACACACACACACACACACACACACGCGCGCACAGATACGTCAACTTAACACAAGCTGGAATCCTTGGAAGAGGGAACCTCAATTAAGAAAATGTTCCCATCAGATTCATCTGCAAGCAAACCTTGAGTCGTTTTTCCTGATTAATGATTGATGTCAGTGTGGTGCTATCCCTAGGCCTGTGGTCTTAGTATAATAATAAAACAAATTGGGTTAGTAAGCCAGTAAGCACAACTCCTCCACAGCATCTTCTTTTCTGCCTCCAGGTTCCCTGCCCTGCTTGGGTTCCAACCCTGGCTGCTTCCCTGATGGACTCTGATGTAAAACTGAAGGATAAAATAAACCCTTTCCTCCCCAGATTGATTTCAGTCATGGTGTTTTATCAAAGCAACAGAAAGTCACAAAGACACACACACACACACACACACACAGAGAGAGAGAGAGAGAGAGAGAGAGAGAGAGAGAGAGAGAGAGATTTTCATTAAAAAAGAAAGAAAAGACACTTCTGCTAGAAAATTTCATCTAGAAGAACGGTATGTGAGTGTGTGTGTGTGTGTGTGTGTGTGTGTGTGTGTGTGTGTAGGAATTGGGGTGGGGTGGAAGTAGATGTGTTTAGGTCCTTCCACATCTTTCAGCTACCCCGGGTCAGTAATTTATGCATTTCTTAATTTCTGCACCTGTAAAAGGAAAGCATCATCACTTACCTCTTTGTAATATTTTGCCCGAAAAGATTCAGAATGAAAGATGCCAGGGTATACGTGATAGCCACCATTTTACTTATGAAAAAAAAAAAAAAAACTTGCATGTGGGGACATGTATCCCAGAAGGGGAAGAGGAGGCAGAAAACACTAGAACTGGGCTCTTGTGAATCTCAAATATTTGAACATGTGGTTTTGAAATAACAATCTTTGTCTTGCCTTCAAGGTTCAGAGACTTTTCTAAATGGACCCATTAAATATAAGCAAGGCACACACAGTATCAAATATTTTGCATAATTTTCCAATCTCTTCAGTTTTAGCCAATAACCTCCTACTATGAATAAATTTATCATCTGGAGCCAGAGCAGCAGGGAGCAGCTACCTAAGGAGAAAATCAGCATAATAATATATGCTCTTGGAAGGGTTCTGCAGGCTCTACATTTTTTAGCCTTAGAAAGAACAAAAAGCTCAGGGGCTGCTGTAGCATAGAGAGAGGAGGGGACAGGAACCAGGATTACTAACATCATAACTCGGTTTTCATGGTGCGAACAGTTTTGTAAGTTTCTCAATATGGTGGATTAAACACCCTCTCAATGACTAAGAGAAACCAATGTCAAAGGCTGGGACAGAACATCAGGTTCTGTGGCACAGGTCCTCACCCTAAACCTGTGTTTGTGTGGTTACTGGTGTTTTAAGACTTTTTTTGTCACTAAGTCTGGCAGGAGGGTAGGATGGTGTTCCTCTTTGCCCCTCTGCACTCATTGACTACCCAGCCTCAACTTGTTCTGTGCACTTAAGACCTGACCTTCCTAGAGCAAATGAACCAGGTTTCTTTGCCTTCCATTTCTGGTTAAGTGTGCAAAATAAGAAGCGCCAATAGGATCTCAGAACCAGTATCCCTGCTTTGGCTCAGGGTGTGATTGCTTCCTTCATGTGCTGGTACTGCAGCACCCATTCGATGGGCCTGTAACCTCCTCTGCACAGTTTCCCTAATTCTATCTTCTGCTTTGGTTCTCCTTAAGCTCTTGCCACTCTTTAGTATACATTGTAGTATACCTGTCAACACCTAACCTCACAGGGACCCTTGGAGACTAAGAAGTATGGCATACTTTTCGGTCCATATAAGTATTTGCTGACCTTCAAAGGGAGAACACTAAAGGAAAAAAGTCAAGAATATTCATATCATTTATAAGCATTAGGATGGTACTTTCTATGGGATGAAGAGATGGTGAAGATCTTTTCCTATTCTATGGGTTGACCTACTGACAGTGAGTATCCGTTGCTTTATAGAAACTTTCCAGTTTCATCAGGTCCCCCCCATTTATTGTTGATCTTGATGTCTGCCCTATCCAACATTACCTCCTGTTCTATGTGTGTTCAAGGATATTCCCCACCTTCTCTTCTATCAAGTTCAGTGTCTCTGGATTTATATTGAAGTCTATGAACCACTTGGACTTGAGTTTTGTGCAAGGTGATAGATTAATATCTATTTGCATTATTCTACATGTCAACAGCCCATTATACCACCACCATTTGTTAATGATTCTTTCTTTTTTCCATTGTCTAATTTTGACTTCTTTGTTGAAAATCAGGTGTCCATAGGTGTGTGTATTTAAGTCTGGATCTTTCATTCCATTTCATTAATCTACCTATTAGAAAAGCAAATGAATCAAAACTACCTCTCAGGAGCAAATCAAAATACTGGAAAGTAATGGTCAGAATATTAAAGAGATAAATCAGTTATACTACTTTGTGTTCCAAACAGTGATGTTGTGCCTTCAGAAATGATTTCCAAATAGTTCCTCATTTCTTGCAATCACCTGGACATATATATA